GCATCCTCAGACCACAGCTTTAACCTTTAACCTTTGCTGCACTGGCAAGGACAAAAATCTTACCAGCAGCAACTCAATGTCAAGAGCTACCCAGGGCAATGGAGCTGGAAAATTAAGAGACAGAGTCTTCCAAATCTCTTACACTAAGTCATGACTATGAGAATACAAACGTGGCTTCACAGACTCCACTGAACACACTCCAGCAGATCAGCAGCTCTCCAGCAGAAAACATTCTGATCTCCAATTTAAAGCTAGCCCGTGCACAGTTAATTGGCTTTCAGAAACTCAGACCTCAACAGCTGGGTTAATAAGACAAACTTCCCTCTGGAAACTGTATGAGGCCATTTAAAAGAGAAGAAACAGGGTTTAAATGCACAGTTTCATCAACTAATGCAATAAATATTTTTGCACTTTGGCCACCTTTCATACAACATTTCGGTTTATTCCTACCACAAATTAATTCTTGTTGAAAAAGTGCATAGTAAATTGCTTTACTAATCAAAGCAAATCGAGACATGGATTTACATAGTAAACAAGGATTATGCAAAGCAATGTGAGGCTCCTAAAACCTTTATCCACATGACTCAGAAAAACACAGAATCTGAGCAGGGTAATTACCAGAGTGCTGGATTAGTGCTGCTCCCTTTTTTTTGTACCAGTATTTCAAGGGTTTCTGTGACTGACTCAGCTACAATTCCAGTTTGAACTCTTCCTGGCTTAATCCCACATCACCTGACTTCAGAGGAACAAGGAATTTAGTCACTGACTCGCTGTTTCACAAGTACACACTAAATCTGTCACCCAGCCTCCTGGTAAAATACAACAAAACATGCTTATAATCAGCCACATATGAGACTTTTATCATGCTACAAGACCCACTGATCTACTGCTCATTGCAGTAAGGTTGTTAGGCAAACATATGTGGGCATAAAGCAGAAACCAATAAAAGCAATCAGTCCCTGAGTAAGGTTCACTGTTTTACCAGTGCAGGCTCCCTTGTGTGACACTGCATGGCTGGCACTCCTGCCATTCCAATTAATTACAGTCACACAAACTAAACGCTTGCAATTGTGCCAGCAGAAGTTTAAATTCAGCTAGGAGAAAAATTATTAAATACTTCTGGGGGAAACAAATAGCAAACCCCTTTTATTACTGCTACCCACGATAACTGCAGTGCTAAACTAACAGAACCCAGTGATCAGACCATGAGCCTGTCAACCTAACAAGGCTTCAAGTTCACCCTCTTGTGCACATCAGCAAGTTGGTGCAATGCACAGCAGAGGGATCTGTAGAGTAAAACAGTTGGTGCTGGGAACTTGACCCGCACACCAGCACCACCACCACCTCTGCAGTAAATGGAAACACTGTAAATGCATTCCAGGAGCATCTACTACAGATTCACTGAAGTCCTGCTCTGAAGACAGTGTCTATTAGCAGCTGGAGAACACCAGGCTTGCATCCCTCAGCTGAGCTTCATTCCGAAAAAAAGTTGACTACGCACACTCTGAGACATTCCACTGCAAAGCACAGCTCGTGAGAAGTGGAGAGGATATCCCTGATCCAAACCAAACCACCACTGTAGATGCTGCACAGGTGTTCTGACTCAGGTCCTCGGTGATCCCAAGCCACCACACTCACCTCATAGTTCCTGGCGTTGGTGTTGGCTGCCTTCTCCAGCTCGATGCGGGCGCGTTTGTGGCTGAGCTCCATCTGCATCTTCTCCCGCTCCACCTGCAGCAGCTGGGATTTGGAGTGGATCTGCCCTGCTTGCTCTTCCAGCTGGCCAGTTCATGTGGGGAAAGGGACATTGCACCCCATTAACAGCACAGCAATAATAAGGCAGGGTGGTGCCTCCCACCCTGTGCTGCTTCAGCTGACATTTATGTGCCATTTTACAAAGCACCAGGAAACCATCACCAAATCTGTGGTACTTCTCGCACCACCTGCAGCTGGGGAACCACACCCAGAAACCCACACCAAATCAAGATGAGTTGGAAGGAAATTAATTCCAAGTTCTTCAGTCAGAATTCTTCCTTCCACCTCTAGAGATACTCTGACAAAATGTACTTCTCTATTTAAAAAAAGTTAATTATGAACTCCCCACACCTCATAATAAAAGTAAAAGCAGCTGGCAGAGAAGCACAGATCATGCTCCCAATAAAATGTAACTGCTGAGCAAAATAACATGTTTTTCTATGACCTCTGCAACATTACACTTCGTTTTTTCATTCAAATTGCCTTGGAGCACAGACAACACTAACAGAATTCCTCACCTCCTGGTGATGTACCTTCAACACACAGGTGTAAATAAGCAAGCTTATTTTATACTTAGAGACTGAAATAGAAATTAAGACACAGAACAGAGAAACTTCGTTCCAGCCTAATAAACAGTCCTTAGGATCCAAGATGTCAACTTATTTTATGCTTTATGAGCATGAAGCAGCTAAAAGAAAAAAAAAAAGTAAAACACCCAGGTGGATGCAAACAGAGGTGGACACAAACTGTTTGCATATCAAAGCCACACTACTCTGTGTGTCCAGGCAAAGAAACCTAATTATGAAAAAAAAAAAAAAGGTAACAAACTGTCTTACTAGAAAAATGTTAACAGATCTAAAGCTCCTCTGTTCAGCAAAATGAAAACAACTTACAATTTAATTTCCTGAGCTGGTTCACAGATAGAACTTGCAGGGAATAATTTCAAAGCATCTTTCTTATTCTTTTATAAAACAGAAATAAGTACGTCTGACACTTTAAAAAAATTAAATATTTTCTGGAAAGTATTTCAGAATGTTGACCAAAAGCAAGATTCCAGTAGTGAGCTTGTGGGACCATCAGCTTCAGAAAGAATGGTCAGATCTGAACGAAATCAATCCTGATTCCTGGAATCAAAAGGAGCACAAGAGCACACTGATGAGGACACCTCACCTGCATCCTCTGCTGGTACTGGATCTGCAAGGAGCTCTGAGATGGTCCTGGTGTGGCCAGCCCAGACACCCCCTCCATTCGCTGAGATATAAAGTGGTTGAGGGATTTCAGGGTGGAGAAGACGGTGGTGTTATTTTCCAGGTCCTCCATGGCTGTGGAAATGGACAGAAATAGACATCAGCAAAACAGAGCACGCTGCTCTATCTTGGCTGCTCTGCTGAGGAGAGACACACCACTGCCCTGAGGAAACACTCAGTGCAAGGTCTTCCAATTTACAGGGTAAAATCAACCTGCAAATCACTGCAGGTGCACCCCAACCCCCAGAAAACACGACCCGACCCAGGCTGGGGTCATAGGTCTCTGACATGAGAAACTGATGCAAGGCAGGCTGTTCTTCCCTGACCTTTCTACCCAGAATGGTTTGATTTTATTTAAATATATTCTCCCCTGAATCTTGGCCTATAAACGTACAAATAAAAGCTGTCACGAGTCGATACAGAATTGAATTTTCTTTTCTGGGAGACAAGTTAACACTGTAGGACAGGAGGATCTACAGCAGGCAACTATAACAAACAGAACTCATTACTCTTCCCCCAGATGTTTGAAGCTGATGGGGGAGGAGAACTAACTCCACATTAGCAGCAAACCCTTCCTTCCACTCAACTTGCTTCTGGCTTCCCAAAAGCGCTCTGGAAGCACCAACTTCCAGCAACAAGTCTTCCCCAGTTCACAAACCCCTTCTGTGAGTAAAACTGCATTTCTTCGTTCACGTTAAGAGTTTCTGCAAATCCTTCAGACTCAGAAGGGCCGAAGACAAACCAAGCCTGCAGCTCCGGAACGCCAGCGAGGCTTCCCAGGAGACTTCGGGGAGCCTTCGGGGAGTCCCCGCAGTGACTGCGCGCTCCATAAAGCCCCGGGATCACGAAAGGCAGCCCCAACACTCACACGGCTTGTGGCGCCGGGGACGCAGTCCCGGGGCTACCTCCAGGCTCCCGCACTCTCGGTTATTCCTTGGATTTGCATGGTGGCGAACAGGGGGTGTAACAGCAGCCCCCGGGCAGCAGAGCAGCCACAACGCGGGAGAAGGCGCTTATTCAAACCACGCGAATTAGGGAGGGCACCCTGCCCACAGCGGGCCTGGGACAGGCAAGCCCGTCCTCAAACCCACTGACGATGAGGACACGCGGGCTCAGGAACCCCCGCGGCCGAGGGACCCCCGGGGCTCCGGGGACCCCCCGGCCGGCAGCGGTGGGCACGGGGGTGCTCGGGGGCTCGGCCGCGTGGCTGCAGGAGGGCGGGAGCGGTGGCACCCATCCATATCCATCCATATCCATCCATCCATACCCACCCATCCTCATCCCTCCCCATCCATCCCCGCTCACCGGCGCGCGCCCCGCTTGGATCTCCCTCCTCGCCCCGGCCACGGGATCTCACGGGAACGCCCCGCCCCGCTCTCGCGAGAGCTGCCCGCCGTAACGACGGGACTAGGCGCGCATCCCCGCCCTACCGTAATTCCTCCCCGCTCGGCCTCTTGGCAACTCGCCCCCCCCCCGGCTCCCCAAAAATCCCCCTGCGCCCTCCTGCTCGGGCAGAGCCCCCCGGCCCCTCCGCAGCTGCAGCCGGAGGAGCAGAGGAGAAGGCACATGCTCTGCCGGCTCCCATTCCCACCGCGAATCCCAGGTCATAATATTTTTCAAGGAGCGACTGACTTCATTTTTTTTTTTTTTTTTAACTACCCAACACGTCGCTCCCCAGTTTAGGCTGTTGGGTTGACGCTGCCACACACTCCCTTCAGTAAGGAAATCCAGACTGGAAGGTTTCAAATCACTTAAACCCAATAAATCTGTCAGCAGTCCCAAAAGAGCTGTTTACGATGTGGAAGCCTTAAGAACACCCAGTGCTCCCAGCTCCTCGTATAACCCATGCCACAGTCAGCCTGAAAAAAGCACTATTTACTATAAAAGTTGCCATTTCCAGATAAGGCAGCGGGTAAATTTATTTGTGCATACATATTTCTGGCAATTCAATCAGTTATTCTCCCTGTCTGGGAGAATATCTTGTCATTTCACCTGGGAACCACCACAGGCCACACCTGAAACATGACTGAAATGATCTGCACAGCAATGACCCGGCCCCACTGCCACTGGATTTCTGAGTGCCATGAAGCAGCAATTCCTAAATATAGCCTGTGTCCACAGGAAGGGCAGCAGAGCCATTGGGCTGAACATTCCCGAGCCAGCCGTGTCTCCCGCACTGCTGGGTTACAGATCCCAACGTGAGGATGCAGATCCTGACGTGCACAGAAACATTTTCTATTTTTATATGTGCTAATAAATTGCACCAGCTTCTATGAGGCACTAAATAGGCTCAAACTCCCCTCGCTGTTCCCTCAGATTCCGACAAACCCCTTTATGGTCCATCTCATGTACAACATTAACAGGGCAATGATCTTCAAGCACACATTAAAAACTCACAATATCACCATTTTATTTTCATTTCCATTACTCCAGCCCCAGAGGTTTCCTTTCAGATTGTTCCTCTCCAATCCCAACCATTTCCTCCAGATATTCAAAGAGCATGATGGACTTTGTGAGAATCGTGGCAGGTTTTCCCAGGGTCTCCATGGTGGGATTTTTCTTCAGACACCTACTAAAATTCAGATTTCCAGTCAATGCTTGAGAATCTGCAGTTCCCAACTTTCATTTCCCTTTGTACAGCCTTGCCAAGTAATAAGATTCCGCAGACTCCTTCCGGCTGGCCTGAGGCTTTATAGTTCTCACGTCTTGGAACTGCTCCTTCAGTCTGTTTTGCAGAAGACGGGCCTCAGATCCATCCCAGAACTTACAGAGCATCGTTCCCTTCGGCTTTAGAATGCTTTGGGACAGGTTCAGAAGGCCCAAGCACAGATTGATCACCTTCTGGTGATCCAGTTCCTTGATTCCCGTGGCGTTAGGTGCCATGTCGCTCAGGATAACGTCCGCCTTCCCTGCGGGAAGCAGGCTCTGGATTGTCCTCAGCGTGCTGGGGTCTGCAACGTCAGTCTTTGACAGGAAAACTGCTCCTTCCAGAGGAGAAATCTGCAGGAGGTCGACGCCAAGGACGAAGCCAGTGGGGACAGCAGGATCTGTGAGGATGAAGGACACACAAACACTCACAGTGGCTGCAAACAACCTGCACATACCTGAGCTCAGGAAACAAAACTGCCTTCCTGTCCCCTGGCAGTTTGCTGGGTGCATCGGGATGGACGGTTTGCCATAAGCTAATCTATTCCAGACATGAAAATTCAGCTGTTTTGCATAAGCAAAAGGGGATTTTTCTCGTTTTTCTGCTGCTGTTTCAAGGCTGACAGTCCTGGACAATGCTACAGATGATAACACCTTATCTTGTAAGTATTAATGGCTGAAACCATGTAAACTAGGCACAGTGGTTACTTCCATTTTTCTAGAATGGAAATAAAAAAATCAGGTAAGCCAAGGTAACTGCCGGAGGCTACACTGATTTCAGAACTGGATGAGAGGATTTTCCCCACAACAGCTAATCAGAACACTAATACCACATGGTATGATTTTATTTCACAAATACAATTTCTTCAGACCGTATGAAGACTCACTAGGCACACACCTCACGTTTGTATCAGTGACTCTGGCTTTTGCCAAGCACCCACGTTCCTTCCCCACACCGCTCCCATCATAGGATTTCTTAGATTTCATAGTATCTCATAGATTTCTCACACACTTCAAGGAGAGTGTCATCCCCATCCTTGCCTGCCAAAAACACGCACGTACCAGTACCCAAGGCATTGACCCGCTGTACAGCGACCTGGCTCCAAGCACCAGGTGCTGCTCCACAGTCGAGAACAGAAAGTCCCGGCCGAAGAATATGAAGCTTGTCATCGATCTCCAGTAGTTTGAAGGCACTTCTGCAACGGTAATGCTGCTGCTTCGACGCCTTGACAAAGGGATCCTTCAAGTGCCGCTCCAACCACCGCTGCTCAGTTCCAGTTTTCTTCAGAAACCTGACTGTGGTGTGCAGACATCTGCTCACCGAATGCCAACATCTGCCCGAGAAGAAAGGCAAGTTAACTGGTTAGTACATGACGACTATGTATTTCAAAAGTCTCTATAGTAATTAATTCCAACCTCGACTACAGGCTGCTCAGGGAGGTCGTGGAGTCTCCCTCTCTAGAGACATTTAAATCCCACCTGGTTGTGTTCCTGGGCCCAGGTGAACCTGCCTTGGCACAGGGGTTGGACTGGATGGTTGAACTCCAGAGGTCCCTTCCAACACTAACAATTCTGTGATTCTAAACAGAAGACTCCAAATTTGAGATTTTTGGCACCTTTAGCTATCAGGTCCAACCAACAGCAGAAGGACCATGTTTTGGATGAGGCCTCACGCATTACCCTGAAGGAAGGGGGAGAAGAGTCCCTGCTCCAGCACAGCTCCGGTGTTTAAGGACACGACACGGCAGAGTGACCCCAACAGGGTCCCGGGCTGCTTCAGACGGGCTGGCGGCCCCCGTGAGCCCCTCAGAGGAACCAGGGGGATACCCGAGCTCCTGCAAGCTCCGGGACGAGCAACCCACAGCCACTGCCCCGGGGGACCCCCGCCCGGCATTTCCAGCAACCACACACCCATTAACCCGCTCCTGAGGGAAACTACAGGCGCCGGGACTACCGACACCACACCACCACCCCCGGGAGGGATGGTCCCGGGATCTCCTCAGCGGCCCCGCCACGAACCTTCCCCCAGCGATGGCAGCGCCCGCCGGCCCCGCCATGGCCGCCCGGGCCCGCCCCGTCCCGCCTCCCTCACGGCGGCGGCGCGGGAAGAGCCGGGAAGCGCTGAGGCTGAGCGGGACCGAGGTGAGCGGCAGAGCCGGGGGTTTGGGGCCGAGCGGGCAGCGATGGGATGTGCTGGGGGCGTTAAGGTTTTGGGGAGAGGGTGGTGAGGGGATCCCTCACCGAGGCTTTGGGGAGGAGGTTTGAGGGGCTCAGGGATTCGGGGAGAGGAGGGGTCAAAAGGTTGGGGAGAGGCGCTGAGGGGCTCAGGGGTTCGGGGAAGAGGTGCTGAGGGTGGTCAGGAGTTCAGAGGGGGGTTTGGAGGAACAGGGATCTGGGGAAGGGGGGATCAAAGATTTGGGAAGGGAGTGTAGGGAGAATCAAAGATTTAGGGAGGGAGTGTTGGGGAGAGGCTCAAGGATTCAGGGAGGGGGTTTGGGGGACAAGGATTTGGGGAGGCGAGATCAAAGATTTGGGGAGGGGCGCTGAAGGGCTCAGGGATTCGGGAAGGGGTGCTGAGGGCGGTCAGGGGTTCAGGGAGAGTGTGTTGAGGATGGTCAGGTATTCAGGAAGTGGATTTTAGGGGAACAAGGATTTGGGGAGGGGGGATCAAAGATTTGGGGAGGGGGTGCTGGGGGCGCAGGAGAGCGAAGGTCAGTGGGAGTGTTAGAGAGGTACTGGGAGAGGCACTGGGGAACCAAGGGTTTAGGGACCAGGCATTGGGGGGTGGTGGGTGTTTTGAGGGGTGAGGGCCTCTCTGATAAGGGGTGCCGGGAGCCCCTGGCACAGCCTGCCCTCCTCATCCCTCTCCCAGGAGCCATGCACAAACTCTTCACCCTCGTCCTGGTGGTGCAGCCGCCCCGTGTCCTCCTGGGCATGAAGAAGCGCGGGTTCGGTGCTGGGCTGTGGAACGGCTTCGGGGGGAAGGTGCAGACCGGGGAGAGCATCGAGGAGGCTGCCCGGAGGTGAGGGCTCGGCCGGCACCCTGGGGACACGTGTGGGGGCAAAGGGTGGCCATGGAGGAGTTGGAGGTGGGCTGCAGGTGGAGGCACCGCAGCTCGGCTGGTAGCCACCAGTGCAGCCGTGAAAATGTAGTGACAAAATAGCAGAAATTCTTAGGGGTCCACCATGAAAGACACCATAGAAATTTGTTGGGTTATTGTAGGGTGACACTCTAAAAATCAGGTATCTTGTTCTTTACATGAATATTGCTGTTACTAAGCCACACTTTTCCATCTCCTCACTTCCTGATACAAGCCCAAAGCTGTTCTTGCACCTGCAGGAAGAGCAGTGTTGGTGTGCTCAGCTACTACCCAGCAGCTTCTGCCCTGAACAGTCTCCTCAGCTGTGCCAGCCCAACTGCCTGGGTTCTGTGGTGAGCTGACCTTGGAGACAGAAGGGTCTCTGTGCAGATGTGCCCCCAGCAGTGCAGGGCATTAACGTACCTGACACTGAGATCGTGGCTTTTTGTGTAATTTATCTTCTCTGAGTGGAGGGCGGGAGATCAGTTTTGTTACTGAACTCGGCCTTCACTTGCCAGGTTCACACTGTGGTGTAAATCTAGTTATTTGACATGGGATTTAATTTCCTGGGTGTGTGTTTACCTGTGCTGGCCCAGAGTCCAACAGTGGAGTTTTCATTCACACGAGATGTGAAGTGACAAAGGTTTCACTGATCTCAGTGCAGCGTTTCACAGCACAGCCAGCACCTGCTGCCTGGGTCTGTCCTCATCCCTTTACCTGCAGTTGACTCCAGAATGACACAACCAGTTCCTACCGAGGTCAGCTGTGCAGGAAGCTGTCCCCAGAGCCAGGACCAGCTGGACACGCTGGCCACTTGCCTGGCAGGAACGCTGCTGGTGCACTGCTGCCTCGGGGCACAGCTCTCCTCCAGGAAGTGCCACACAGTCCAAAGGAAACTTCCCTTGCACTGGGAGTTGAGGTTTTAGGCTGTGGTTCTGTGTTGCTCTGTCTCAGTTGGGCTGGCAGTGGTGTCAGGTGCAAAGTCCTCCCAGCACAGATAGTTAAACATTAAGCCGAAACATAAACAGAAGTTCTCAGTATCAGTAAGATTTCTGTCCTTGGCTGGGTATGGCACATTCCTGGGAGCACCTGGGCACCCACAGCTCCTCAGTGGCACATTGAGCGAGTTGGTTATTTCTAATTTGCCACCTGTAATGTTTCCACTTGCTACAGACAGAGCCAAGCAGCTGATGGATAAATTGCCTGGAGAGCCATAGCAGTGCTGTGCTTTGTTCTTCAATTATCACTGCCTGTAAAAGGAGGCTTTTAGATTCATTGCTGCCTCTGTTTTGGACATAGATAGCTTCTCAGAAGATAAACTAAAATTAGCCAAGACATTAAGTTGAAATATAATTTTGAAGGATGGGATCCACGAAATCGACGCCAAAGAAAGCTGGAGCCTTGTAATGATTTCCATTACATTTTGAAATTGCTGTTACTGCCAAATAGGCAACTACATTAATTATTAACCTTAACTAAAGATAACGTGGTTTCAGAGTATTCCTTATTTTTTACATTAGAAAAACCATGACTAACTTCAAGCTAGGCTGCTTCTATTGGAGGGAGGTAAAATAAAAAAAAAAAAAAACGCCTGAGTGTGGAGCATAAACAGAGGAAATAATTGGATGTGCGTCAAGTAGCTGTGCATGGTGGAGCGTGGCAAGGAGCTGTCTGGCACATCTCTCCAAGTGCTCTTAAAAGAGTCCTGCCTTCTGGCCTCTCGTTATGCTCAATGTGCTTCCAAGGAGCGGAAAGGGAAAGTTTACACAATTGCTTTGTGTTTTTTTTCACACTGCCTTTGAATGAGAGATGGAATTCTTAACGTTCTGTATGCAAGTGATGTTATGGAGTGTGTAATTTAAATAAGCTTCAGTTTGCCTTAGAAGCAGCTGATTGTGTAGCAAGTACAGATGTTCTGGTCTCCATCACCTGTTTCCCTGTAATTCTAAAAGCTTTAGCTTGAAGCTGGCAAAGCCTTTTGTCTAAATGAAGTGTATCTCTGACTTCTGAAGCCACATCCAGCCACAGTCACATGACTTCACCTGCTCACTTCTCACTGATCTCAGAAACGATCGGCATGTTGCAAGGACTGTAAATTACACAATCTATTTTCCTAAATCTTCCCTTTCCAACATAGTCTATTTTCATACCAGCCTTAGGGCCTGAAATAAAACATGATTCCATCTGACCTGGTTCCCGTGTGGTATAAGTAGACTCACAGTTTGGTGCAAGTGAGAACCCTGCTCTGTTGTACAGCTTTCACCTTTGGATCACAGGAAAGGCTTTGAATGTGCAAGTCAAGCTATTGACTGCATTTTTTTAATTCCTCCCACTTTCATATAAATAAATATGTCTTATTCAGAGGGCTCCTGGAGGAGAGTGGACTGACTGTTGACACCTTGCAGAAGATGGGTCGGATCACATTTGAATTTGTGGGCAACTCTGAACTCATGGACGTTCACATTTTCCGGGCAGATCACTTCCACGGAGAGCCAACAGAAAGTGAGGGTAGGTAGCTGGTGGAGGGCAGGGAAGGATGTGTGTGCTCTCCTGACACAGCACTGCTCTTATGAAATGGAGAACCCCCAAAGGAAGGCAGCTGGGCTGTAGAGGAAAGTTGCTTGTTGACAGATATGCAGCAAAACTCTATGAAGAAAGTCCCATGCCAAGATCTTTTGTTTTCTTCCCCCAGAAATGCGGCCCCAGTGGTTCCAGCTGGACGAGGTGCCATTCAATTGCATGTGGCCAGATGACATCTACTGGTTTCCCCTGGTGTTTCAGAGAAAGTTGTTTCATGGCTATTTTAAGTTCCAGGGAAATGGCACGATCCTGGAACACAGCCTGAAAGAAGTAGAGGAAGTTTAAGAAAAGGGAAGCATTCAGCTCAAGTGCTACTGCCCACACTGGGCTGCAACACCATGAGTACAACTTATGAGGGTTTCCTTGCTCAGCTCTCCAGAGACTTATTTCCAGGTCACTGGAAAGTAAGGAAAACAAGGGGGTTTCTTAAAGCAGAAATGAAAGCACCAAGATTTTCCAAGGTGGGAAGTCCCAGGCTGTGGTAGGCTTTAGTGGTTATGTGATCATAACTATTAAAAACTTAGTGTTAACCCTTTTCTTCACAGCTGGCTACTGGTTTAGGCTTTTCCCTCATGACTGCACCTTTTCTTTGAAATATTAAAAATTTGTTTTAGTAAAAGCTTGTGTTGTTCTGTTGTAACAGTGTTGTGAAAGCCTTTTCAAAAGTCCAGATAGAGACTCCTTCAGGGTTTTCCAGCTGGAGGCACTGCAAGGTTACAAGAGTTAAAAAAGCAGAAGTTAGATGTATGGTCCTGTTTGAGCCCAGCTTTCACTCTTTCGCCTCCTGCTGCGACTTTGAACTCCTGTGAGCATTTTAGGTAAAAATATGCTGAACAGAATCAACTTTCAGCAAGTCCCTGCTGCAAAGTGCCACCCCCCATGGCTGCACACTTTGCCACAGGGCAGGAGCAGGTGACTGCTCAGCACTGATGTCAGCCCAGCCCAGCAAAAGTTTAATCCAACTGTGCTAGAAATAACACATCACATATGTAGCTTCTTACACAAGTTTTGTTTTTTTCTTTTTTTAAACACTTTTACAAACATATAACACTTACAGATAGAATCTTGGAATGTAATGTAGGATCTGTAAACATTTCCAGTCTACCAGCTGTAGTAATAGTTCTTTAATTCCTGCATTTGGATAAAGTGCTTCATACATAAGGCTATTTGAGCAAAGCAAAGATACAGGATATTCCAGGCAGGCAAAACTCACACCCTCTGAACAAAATTTGCTTCTTGTCTCCCTCCAGCAGTTTTGCATAATTTATACCACTCAAAAATGCCCTTCTTCATCTGCTCAGCAAGCCACAGCTCAGACTTAGAGGAGGAATTAACACCTTAAAACCTTACTTTTGTGCTGCACACTGAGTTGTTTACAGAGGTTTTGATACCCACCTCTGCTTCTGACCTGGCACTGAGGATTTCTGGCTGCTCTAACAGAGAGAATGGCTCCAGGCAAGTAGGAGAGAGAATAAACCCAGGAGAACAGGCAGCTTTAACAGGGTGTAGGACCTTACTGAGTGACTGAAAAGGAGGGAAAGGGAGTGACTGACAGCCAATACCTGTTATATCTGGATTTATTTCCTGGTGGAAACTGCAAACTGCTGGGTGAGAGAGAGCACATAACAGAATCACACAGAATTACTGTCTGTTCCTCCAGGATTTAGGAAGGAAGAGAACAAGCACAGCTCAGGCTTGCACTTCTCTTTGCCATCCCCTCTCTGCAGTGAGGTCAGTCCTTTCAGGAGGATGCTTTCCCCAGCCCTGCCTTCCAAGTCATGTCAAATAGCTGGGATGTTTCTGCTCCTGCTGCTGTTGTGAGACTGACATGGTTTCAGTTCTGACCCCAGCTGGTGAGCTTTGTCTTTTAGGAAACAGCAGGAACTGAAGGGTGTAAATTAAGCCTGTTTCAAGTTCCAGGAATTACGCCCTTGCACGATCAAAGTAGGAGAGTAAAAGCACTGGAATGCAGCAAGGCACCACTGAGCACATTACAGCTTAGGAGGAGCAACTTGCAGGGAGGATGGAAAGAGAGAGGAAGAAGGATCAAAGATTAAAGTTGTATTGTAAATACATTTTGGAGTCTTTCAACACATGATTCTGGACAAAAAGCCACTTCACAGCTGGAAGTGGAGAAGCCCTCACGGGTGACAAAAACATAGAGCCCTTTTGATAGAACAATTTTCAGGCAGCTCTCAAGGTCTCAGGCTTTGACCACCCTGGTACCTACACAACAGACCTGACAAAGACACTGACACAAAGACTGGAGGCCTTTTCTACCCTTGCCGTTTTGAACACATGAAGGTCCCCTGACCTCAAGCACACACAGAGAAGCTTCCATTCACAAAGGCACGTTTACACTGTGACACCACGTCTTACAGAGCATCAGCTCTTGGATAGGCAGCACACACTCCTCGGCTGGTTTGCTTAGTGTTCACTGCAGAAGGCAATAGCATGGAGGTCACCACAGCTGTTTCCCCCACGCTGACCAGGGCAGACAGGCAGCTGAAGTCAGCCTGATGGATCCCCTGCATTCCCTGCTGCACCTCTCCAGGGGAAGGAAGCTGTGCTTGATGCTGCCCTCCAAGTCTGACAGATCCATAAACTGAGTGAACAAACACAGTAAGGAAATCCCTCACATACTGAGGTAAACATAACACTGCTATTTGCACACTGAGCAGTCTCCCAGAGGAAAGGTTTGGAAACTAAGGGTTGTATGAAATAGTGTCCGTATGTGTCTAGGAATGAGACAGAAGCTTGACAGTCCAGTATGAAATAAACTCTGAAAGTGCCAACAGCTGGATCAGCTCTGAGAACACAAGGCCTCTGTTCTCAAATACCAGGTGAACAGAGTAAAACCAAAACAAGAAAGACCCACCCCCAAAACTGCTCTCCTCAGAGAGGAGAGGGCTGACAATGGAGGAATGGGTGTTTTCTCAATGTAACTACAGTTCCTTTATAAGTCCTGTGGTCTGTGTTTATCATTATTACAATCTCTGCATTTAGACTGTAGAATTCTTGTTTTCAAGGAGAACAGGAAAGAGGAGTTAGTCTAAAGCCCAAATGTAATTTTGATGTTTGTTTTTGGGGAGGATTTATTTTTTGATTGTAAATGAAGTCCAAAATTATAAATTCTTTCTAGAAGTGAGAAGCGCAAAGTTCCATTCAGGCTAGTGCTTTGCAAGTGCTCCTATGGAACACTGCCCAGTCAAACAAATTACCTAGAAGATCCACCAGAGGTATCAGATCTTGCCCCAAAACACACAATATTTTCTCAATTTGACTGCTCACCACATCAAGCAAACAAGGATAAACAAGGGAGGATGGGTGCTAAGACTAAGCCAGCCACAACCAGCCAACACCTTCTAAAGATGCCAGGGGTAAAGAGCATGTAAAAATCTGGTAACACGCTTTCTGCACCTGAACCACAAACCATCTTCCTAATCAAGACAAGGTCAACCAGGAAGAACTTCTGTGCCATTCCTGAGATAATTACCTTCTGTGTTACTGGACTGTAGAAACACTTCCCACCCCTGACAGTTTGCTCTGCCTTGTGAGCAGAATCTCCTCTGCATCGCTTTGGAAATCTTCAGGAGAGAATCAAATCTGTCACAGCCATTTGCAGTTCATCTGTCTCGCTGTACAAGGCCCATACACAGGAGGAAAGCGAGTTACCATTTGAACTGCTGGAAAAAGCTCTTAATGCATTCTGAGCAAGGTTGGCTACACACTGCTTAAGGCCCAGCACCCAAGGAATTCACCCACATCACTCTATTTTACCCCATTTTGATGCGTGTGAGGAATGGTTATTCCAGTCTCATGAAACTGGACAAGTAACTTATCTTGCTTTTAGCTGAAGAAACTAACCCAGAATTTCCACCTTGATTAGGAAGAGCTTCATGTTGTACTGAGTTTTCTAAATTTAAAAAAAAAAAATAAATAAAAAGCAGCTTTTGTGATTGGAGGATTTAAATATATTTCCTGCTAATGGGGAAGTTCCCCAGTAGAAAAATACTGTAATGGTTCCAGTTTGACAGCGAGCACTCATCCTTGTTAATGTGCTTCCTTCTTCCCCACTCAAAGAAAATGCTAAGAAGCCAAATCTCAAATTCCCCTTTAGAAGCTATTTTGGCCCCAGAGAAGTCAGGTTCAGAGGAGCCCCATTCACACAGCTTTGCTGCAGACGTTTGCAGTTCCTTGGATTATCAGATTCTCTGGAGGATGTGCACCATTTCCCGAGGTAACACGATGTGCACGTTCTCCTCCCCCTTTGCCTCCCGAGGGAAAGTCACTGGAGATACAAAGTGGAGAATGAGTAGTCCCTTTATCACAATCACAAATCATTCTGAAAACCCCATTACCAAGGGCTGAGCTGTTTTTAGAGATGAGAACTGTCACTTGTCTCCCGTCCTTCACAAACACATTCCAGTGTTACCCACAGTCAGGAAAAAGAATGACAGTAACATCCTGATAAATACTGATTTTTTGCTAATGAACTTTATCAGCATTGTGTTCCAGCCTGCTGGTATAACAGGATACTTCTGATATTAGACCAAAGAAAACACCTGCCTTTGGGTCAGCAGCTCTCCAATGGACCTGAACAGCTACTCAGAGGGATGTCAGAACCTCCAGAAGAAAACAGCTACCTTGTAGCTGTTCTGCTCACATACTAGAACTGATTTACAATTATGGAGTGTTTTATTCAATTATTTTCTCATTTATGCCAGGCAAACTCCTCTGAGTTCCTGAACCCAGCTGTCTTTGGCCCCAAACTGAAAAATATGAGCAAGTCCCCAGGCTGCCCTGCAACCATGAAGGGAAACACACTGACAATACAGTCCATCCAGCCAACCCCTTTACAGCAGCATTGACCCCTGCCCAGCTGGGTTACAAAATCCAACCACTTCATTCATTTTGTGCTAAGGTCTAGCAGTAAGAAATCAAATGCAGACACCTACAAGGGGATGGGGGATGGCTTTCAGCTCTCCTTATGCACACATGTCCCTAACACAGGCCCTCCAAGGCATAAAAGGCAATTTATCTCCACTACAAGCAAGTGCTTCAGTTATCCCGTTCATCTCAGCACTTCAGAGACTTCAGTGCAGAGATGTGTCAGCACAGCTGCAGATAAAGCAGGAGGACTGTTAGCACAAGATGCAGAGGCATCAGCAACAGCACTGCAGCACTCGCTGTGCCAGGCCCCATCCCGACCCTATGGAGAGTGTCTGCAGGACAATGAACGTCAGCTCTGCCCCAGAGCACTGCAAAATTCAGAGATTGTCTTTATATCCATACATTCTGCCCCACATCCAGTCTGTCTAAATCAGAGAGCAGCTCAAAGCAGCAGTATTAAAAAAAAAAAAAAAAATAGCTGTTTGGAGGATTCATTTTAAACATCTGGAGGTAGAGGTCCCACCCCTTCGTTGATTGCCCTTCTTGCTCCATGCAGGATGCTTGGAGCATTAACTGGAGAAGAAGTTTCCCTCTGGAGGTGACAGTGGTGGAGTTGGCATATTGCTGGATCCCACGAAAAGGCAGCTCAACTTCGGCTTCAGTTCATTCCAAACTTTACTCATCTGTGAGTGGAAAAGGAGAGAAAACAAACATGACAACACAGCA